GGTTGGCCATCCTAAAAGCTCACCTGCACTTTGTGCAAGGTGAGCTAAAAACAAGAAGTTCTCATTGACCCTAGTTGCAGAACTTGATTACTGGATGCCCATTCCAGTGCAGCTCAATGTTTTCTTTATTTTGAATGTTCAGATCCTAGATGAACAAAACAGTTTACATGTATTGTGCATTAGGTTTATTGATTCATTACAATTAACTTACACATTAAAGGGATATTCAGGCAAAATAATGACAAAACTATCAAAATGATCTTATGTACTCAAATCACGCTAAAATGACATTTCTTAAAGTTCCAGCATAAATTTCTGTTTAAATTCTACATATTTTGGGTTTGAAGCGTAAACAGATCTATTTTATTGAACAAAATTTAGACGCCAATAAAATCACCGAATAGTTTTAAAACAAGTCATGTCACTTGAATAAGCCCTTGAAGTTACAATAAAAGATATTGTGGATATTGTAGGATTGAAACAAGTCTAAAATAATTCATTTGACATGTACTTTAACGTTTCCAGAGTTCACCGTGACAACTTTTGTGAAATCCTAGTGCTCTAACCTGACCCACGCGGGTCAAGTTAGGAAACCACCATTTTATTTTTCATACTGAGAAAAGTTTTGTTCTTTTGACTGTCTAATGTATTTATTTTGGGGGCATTAACAGAATAATGAATGAAAAATCCAAAACTAAGACATGAAAATTTTGCCTGTGTCTCCCTTTAAAGCTGGTTATGAAGATGGAGGACAAAAACCAATTAAGTGTCAAATTAAATACAATGGCCAATAACTCTAAAATACTGCAAAAAAGACTCATGGTTCTTTGGCAGTGGGCACTATTTGCAATTCTTCTTGATAAGATCTATGCATCTTTGAAGTTTAAAGTTATCATATACCTCCATTAATATTGTTGAGTTAATTGGTCTTGACAAAACACAAGTATTTAACAAGAGGATAGAATGCAGTGTTAAAGCTCTTCCTCTAAGAGTAACAACTTAAACATGTTATTGGCCATAACTTATGGCTGTTTAACTCAGTTCACTTCTCAATATGAAGAAATAACTTTATGATTGTGAATGCTAAAGATATTCAAATTTTAAATTATACCTCATATTTTCATTATTTTTATATGGAAAAGGGGCATAACTCTAGAAATACTGATGACATTATAATATGGTTGATGCTCAAGAAAGTTGTAATTAACAATTAGAATGTCTCTGTTATTTTATACACATGAATAATGTGCGTAAACAGAATAAAATATTCCAGAACAAAATATTATTTTGCTATTTTAAGTAAGTTTTAATTCCGTTTAATGCAACATTGATTTTGTGCATGCACTACTTGCATTTAAGGATTTATTTCAAGCATTTTGGAAGTATATTTTTTTTTAATTCAAACAATAATTTTTGCAATAGATATATAGCTTTATACACTTTAATAGCCTAAATTTTAAACTGATTTCAATAACATCAATATATCTTGATGTCACAGTGGTTCACACTGTTCATATTGCAAAAAGTCACATATAGTAACCTTAACTTGATGTAACTGACTTAACACAAATTTGATATCATAATATACCAAACAAAGTAATGATGTCATTTATGAATTGACCTAGTTTTGTCACCACTATATTACATCCTATTATATTCATGAAAACAATAAACAAGACACAGGAAGCAAAAAATCTAAATCAATTATTGCTGGAAGTAATTCTTTATTATAACGTACACAATTATTAGTACATGTATTAATTTAGGTGAAACTCAATTAAATTAGCCATTTACAAAACTTCAACATGATTGTATAAAACTAGTATGTAAAACCACAGGAGCTTTACATTCTATAACTAAATGTAAGGAAATAATTAAACAAGAGCTGTCCGTAAGACAGCGCGCTCGACTTTTTTATTGCTTGCCAATAAAAAAAGTTTTTGCAGTAAAAGGCAATACAAGAATCTCTGTATTTTTAAAGTGAACAATGGCCATGAGCATTAAGATATTTAGTGAAGAATTATTTTACTGAATTGTGTGATACCCTTGAACACTGCAGCAAAGTTTGAAATGTTTAAGTCAAAAGAGGGCTGGTAAGAAAGAAAAAAAAACTGAGTTGAGCCTTAAATAAATTTAATAGTATTAAACCCACTTTGAGAGAATAAGGTATTTTTACGTCACTCAGAACACCTTGGTAAATGACATAATAACATAATTTTTCAAGAAATCTATGCCAAGGAAGCAGTATATTTTTGTACAATCATCATAATATATAGATTTGACTTTGTATGTGAAAGTATTATAGTTACCTTATAATACAAGTAATAGATAAATTTTATCAAGCTTTTTTAGATGTTGTCAGTTGGTCACAAGTGGATCTCTTTCACACAGGCTGTGGGTGACTGGTTACTTTTCGTGGGTCCACTATGTAGATAATGCGTTGTAAACTGATATTTGAATTACATGAAGGAAGTTCAATTCATTATTTAATGTCATGCTAAATGTTCATGAAATCGTGACATTGAGTATATTTTTACCAATTGGGGCATCTCGTTGAACACATTCATTCTCACTATCTTCGAATGCTCCTAATTTCTGTATGTAAGCACAGTGTAGCATCACGAAACTGAATATAAGTTATATGATTTACTGGTAAAAGCCAATTCATGGAAGTCTATCAGTCTGCAATATTTTTAAAACAAATCCTTGACAGAGTTACCTTCTCTTGCGTACAGATGGGGGTAATGATGTGAAATAGCATTAAAAGTTTCAAAGCAATATCTCAAAGGGTTAAGGCAATAAGTGGATTTTACCCATATTCAATGTATTTTCTAAGTCAAAAAGGGGCATAATTCTGTCAAAAACCTTGACAGAGTTATGTCCTCTTGTCTGTTGATGAAGGTCGTGATGGTAAACAAGTATGGTCAGTTTCAAAGCAATACCTCCAATGGTTTTGAAATAAAGTGAGGTGGTACAAAAAACTTAACCAAGCTCAATACACTTTCTAAGTCAAAAAAGGGCCATAATTCTGTCAAAAACCTTGACAGAGTTATGTACTCTTGTCTGTAGATGGAGGTTATGATGGTGAACAAGTATGGTAAGTTTCAAAGCCATACTTGTAATACTTCTGAAATAAAGTGGGGTGGTACGAAAAACTTAACCAAGGTGTGACGCCAACGCCGACGCCGACGCCGACGCCGGGGCGAGTAGGATAGCTCCCCTTTTCATAGAAAAGTCGAGCTAAAAATAATGGCAAATATACCCCTTTATACTATAAATAAATAGTATACAGGGGTATATTTGCTGATATTTTTAAAATATTTACTCATATTTTCTATTATTTATATAGAATGTCAAGCTCATGTGGTAAAACTAGCCTGTTCTAGCCAATTCATGAAAGAAAGCACAAGTAACAGCAGTTCAACTACAATTTTTTAGGTTAGTTGAAAATAAACATTCAGTCTATCTCGAGCAGAGTCAAGTAATTTTTGTATTATATTAATTATTGTATGGTGTGTGAATATGATTATGTTATATTAAGTAAAATAATGCCTGGCAAAATGTTAATTCTTAAAGTGGCCTTCAGCTTTTCTAAAGGTTAAATATGCTATTTTTAGATAAATCGTTTGATATCATATAATTGTCAAATTGAAAGAATTATGCTGGAAAATTACTAAAATTACTAAAATACTAAGTTTGAAACAACACAGAATTGTTTGTTTTTTTTCAACTGAAAATAAAAGCTAAAAGCTGCATTAAATTATTATTAATTTAAATTTCATCACACCAATACATTAATAAAGAAAAGAGATAAAGCTGTAAAACAATTTTCAAAGCAATTAATTAATGCATTTCAAAATGATACAAAATATTTTGTTAGTGTTAACACACATTATAATTATAGATAGATCAAATTTACAGAACTTTCAAAAACAGACTGCTCCTAATTTACATGTAATTCATACTCAAATGTCTACATAATGCTACTTTCATGCTTACAATACTGGTAGTACTTTAAATTTCATGCTTCATGCTAGAATTTCTATACTTATGTTGTAACAGTTTTTAAAATGTAAAAAAAAAAAATCCTTTCTTTGTTCTGTTAACATCATGACTGTGATTCAATCTGTGATTTTTCACCTTTAATATAACAAAGGCCTATAAAAGGCTTCTTCCCAGTAGAAATTTTCTACAAAATCAATTACAGTTGTCAAAAATTTTGAACTTACATCACCTTAAAATATTTTACTTCCCAAATTGGCAATTTTAGTGATAATTTTCCAGAAAATCAAGATGCTATTAGGCTCCTTTCCAATTCAGTGAGAAAAACCAATGTCAAATCATCAAAATTTAACAAAAACCTTTTAAATAGATAAATGCAAATTCTATTTTAACAAAATGTATAAACAATTCAAGATTTAAACCAACATTCAAGATGAAAATAAGCATACTTGTATATGACAATCTATCTTAAATCAATCTTTGATTTTAACAAAATTGCAATATGTTTCAAAAAACTAGAATAATTATCGAGAAAAAAAAATTTGAAAGGCTATTGTCATTGAGTTGAATGTTTGTATTTATGTTTACATGTATAACATTAAATGCCAATTAAAGTATTTTCTGCTGAAAAATTTACAGTGTTGACTGTTTATCTTGAAATTATATATTAGATGCAAACCAATTTTATGACGAAATAAAAGATTAATTATCTTGGCAGTAAATTTAAATACTTATAATAATACTGAAAATGAAAGAAAATATTACCATCACCTCTTTGGGTCTATGAATGGAGTCATCAATTAATGCCTGTTGCATAAAAACTATCAAAATAAAGCTTCAATCACCCAAATTCCCTTATATAATACATGCATGAATAAAATTCGCTACATATAATAGAAAACACACTATTCATCGTATATCTATGCAGCTTTATGTAATGTGATGCCAGAGATGAAGTCTCTAATGTGACAGTTATGGTGACACACATTATTACTCACCATTTATTAGAATTCCTCGGAGTAAAAGACTGGGGGTCGTGTAATTTCTTCCATAACAAAGAGTTGCCCGCCCTATCCATCATGCTCTGAGGCAGAACTTACACCTAAAGATTTGTTAAAACTATATAGAGTTAGACACACAACAAAATTCTTTGTTTAAGAATTAAGTACACATCCTTTTTTTTATCACATGCAGAAATATGGTGTCAAGCATAATATCTTTGATGTGTGTCAGAAGATTTATAATCAAGAATATTATTATTAAATCCTTCAAGAATAAAATGATTTTTTTTTTTGCATAAAATGTTAATATCTTCTTTATACAATATTTTTAGTCACCACTTAATAAAGTCTACATTCACTATATACCCTCAAACAGAATAAAATTAGTAGCAAATTCTTCTACTTCTCTTTTCATATTCTCTTTTGAAAATTTGAAACAAATTTCATTATTCTATACAATGCCTTTCATGTTTATAAAATCGCAAAACATAAACCAGATTAAGTTTGCTACTGTTATAGCTTCCAATGGCATGTATCGTTTTTCATTTCTCAATAAACACTAGCTATCACCCAAGAGATCTAATACACCAGTATAATATGAAGAGAGATCTCAGGTATTGTATATAATTACTTGTGTTGACTTATAATGCATAATATCAGAATATTGTCATCTTCTATTGAATATTATATTTACAACTTTATTTCTCGTTCACATTTTCTCATTATCGCCGTTAACTGTCAGTTTCTTTCATTTCTTAAGAGTGTTTTTCTGTTCTTCCTATTTTAAACCTTATATTGTTTCTAAAATTTAGTGAATGTCTTTTCTAAACACCCAGATCATTCTTATAATGAACAGTAATGCATCAAATTCAATGAAAACTGTTCAACAGTTGTCTTTAAAATGCATCCTATCAATGATAAACACTGTTTTGTAAACATATAAACATTCCCACTATGAATTAACACAATATTTCCTTGGAGCTTCTATTATTTTACAACAACTATCCCTAGCCGAATCAATATGTCAAAAATCTCTGGACTAAAGACTACAAACAAATCAATACATGATTGAAATGACCAGGTATTTTTTCCTTGAGTGGAAGGAGAGCTGTATAAAGATTTGTTTGACTTTGGAAAGTTTTTATTTACAAACCCTATGTTTCAGCTTTTAATAGACAAACAGAAACAAACAGAAATTTACAGATAACATTTAGTAAATCAATGTCTTCCTGTCAGCAGTATTATCAATAGGAAACACGTTTGATTCAATAGCTATAGTTTGATTCAATAGATATACCGGTTTCAAATAACAGAGAATACTTATTTCCCGTTATAATGACTTTTACGAGGCAAAAAAAGCTACACAAAAAGGGATTTTACACTTTGATCTTTTTCATATTTATTTTTATTAACAAATTCCAATTTCAGATAAAATGAAATTTAATAAAAAAAAACATTTGACATAAAAAACTGTAGCAATTTACTTAACTAGCTAGTACAGTGTTGGTATTCAAATTCATATTCCTATGTTGTTTTTAGTAGTGTAAACATTAATAATAATTTGCAAATCAAAATAAATATTAAAGCTTAATAATTTGCAATTCAAAATATTTTTTTTAATATTACAGCTTAGAAGCCAATTAGATTGGTATTTATTATGTACATGAATACTGCTAGCTATCAATCAAGACTTTTTTCAAAACAGGATTTAGTCAGTTTAACAATCATTTTGCATTAAAAAAACTTTAATGGAATATAATTTTTAAAAATTCATTTAATCTTTTAACCCTTTCCCCCATGAGCATATTGTGGAAAATGGCCGTTTTCACTGAAAAGCCTCCTGTTACAAGTTCAAACTGCTATGAAACTATGAAAAATGCTTCAATACTAATCAAACTTGGCACAAATGTTGACTGGACCATTGCCTTTGTAACGACATGCTCAGTCTTAAATTTCCTGTTACCATGGCAACGAGGGGGCATCTCAAAATTGCCCAAAATCACTATTTTGCCTCGATTTTTTCCATCAAAATTTATTTCAAAGTGCTGCAACTTCTCAAGGGATTGAGATAGAGTCAAAGGCTTTTCAGCGTTGGTTACACGTTACATTATGATCGACCTGGGGTCATTTTTAGCCTCTCACAAGTCCAAAATTTTCTTGGCGATGAGGGGGACTCCGCCCCCCTTCAAACCCCCCTAACAGAAGGCGGCACATCCCCATTCTGGCAAGCCCCTGATGTATCTTTTGGACGGGGGGCGGCGCCGAAAAAGTGCTCAATTTTTTTAGCAACATTTCTCAAACAAAAAACATGTGTTTGGGGCCCAAATAGGACATTTTTTCACTCTTTGAGGCCTAAAAAAGAGGGGGGGGGGGGTCGAAAGTGCGTTGTTTCGCGTATATATGGGGTAAAGGGTTAATATGTTATGAAGCCAAAGTGTTTGGTGCCGTGATTATGGTTTAGACCTGGTATTCAGGAAGGGAAGCAGGCCAATGAGATTGGGATAATGAAGTTTGATATATTACTCTAATAGTTTTTTTTTTTGATGCGTTTATTTAAGGTCGCCGCCGGAAAGCCCATATGGGCGACCGTACACTCAAGTCGGGCCATCCTAGAGCGTCCCGCCGAGATTTTTTCGTCGATTTTTTTCTCCAGCTTTTATTGGTGGAGGAAGACCCCAGGTGCCCCTCCGGGCATTATTTCAGGCACGAGCGGGCACCTGGGTAGAACCACCGACCTTCCGTAAGCCAGCTGGATGGCTTCCTCACATGAAAGATTTCGACCCGAGTGAGGATCGAACCTACAGTGGTGAGGGACCAGTGATCTCAAGTCAGCGACCTTAACCACTCGGACACGGAGGCCCCACACTCTTAATAGTTTATTTAGATCATACTTATATACCTTAGTTAATAAAATGTACCCTGGTAATAAAAGAATCCACCTATATTATCTCCCTTTAATATTATTAAATCTCTTCCCTTGCTGGCTTGGGCTTGAAAAGAGTTGTCATGCTTTTGCAGAATGTTAAGGCTTGAAAAAAGGAGCATTAACACTCTATTGCTTAATAAGTTGTTGTCAAGATATTAATTAAATTAAATTTAATTGTTAAATTGATTTATGAGGTAAAAGATCCATTAATTACTACAAATTATCACCATCAAAGGAATTAAACAATAATTCACTATTCAAGTATGACTTATTAATTGATATATGTCAATACAATGTTAACTTCTGTTAGAATAACAAATATCATTAATTCACTGATAAAAAACAAGTTCAATAAATTACAAAAGTTTATTAAAAATTAATTCTAGGATGATACGAGTGCCTTGTCTCTAAATCAATCTATCATAATTATCTGACCCATCTAAACTAATGGTTCACTGAAGTATGAATCCATTAAATGTAAATGAGCTCATTCAATAAAGTTTTACCAGTACTAATATGTCAACAGTTACTGGTTTTCATTAGAACATTTGACTGAAATAAATATGTATAATTGTGAAAAAAGTCATTACATGTTATCGGAACAGAATATCGAGGTAACATACTGTAAATGGAACTAATTAAAAGAAGTTGCATATATTCAAAACAGGTTTTTTTAATAAGAAAGAATTATTTGAAATCTTTCCTGGTACATATATAATCCCTTTTAAACACCTACAATAAGTATACATTTGTAATTAAGAATATCACTGTCTTTAAGAAAGCTAAGCCCTGCACATTAATTGTCGAATTTATAAGTCAACATTTCTGCCAATTAGTTTTAATTTATTTCCATCTGACAGTTCATATTGCTTTACAATATTGACCAACATTGTTACCAGGGGCATATTATCATTATACGGTAGCATTAAAATATAGCTCACAGTCTACAAGATGTCTCAGAACATTGATGTATTAGTAGTTTAAACCCTATAAATCATTTATTACTCAGACCAAAAAATATGTCTTTTGATAAAATTAATACTGATCATAATTAATACCTTATAATCTGCCCTTGACTGGAATATTGTATCCAAAAATTACCCAGTTTGGTACATATAAAAATTACCCAGTTTGGTACATATATTATCCTCTTACCAACCTAGATATGTCAAGGCTAGTTAATATTAAACATCCAGGTTTTATGAAGTGCTTAATCTTAAAACAAAGACATCCAATAATGACAATTGCAGCTTAGTATGGTTACAACCATTGATGTTGCTGATCTTTTAAGTGTAAAAGCAATTGATAGGGAAGTTACTGAGAAAAATCAATATATAGTGTCAGAAAAATCAATATATAGTGTCAGAAAGAGCTTAATTTTAATGGTATCTTAGCTAAATATCACTTTGAAAGTCTTGCTTTTTATTAAACTGCTTTTTGTTGTTTTATTTTTCAGTATTTTTTTTCTTGACACAAATGAGATGACTGACAGGAGCTCAGTTCTTTTGCAATGTAATCTTTCCTGTCAAATTTCTTTTTGTTTGAACAAAATGAATGCTTACTACATGTATTATTTTGTATAAGTGTTTTTGATTCTTATAATATTTATAGGTATCTGAATAACTGCATATCACAGAAGGCAAATAACATACAGGATATTAAATGCTTGTTTTGTACGTAAGATAGACATAAATTTCACAGAGTGAACACAACATGAGTCATAGCCTGATAATAATATTCAGTGAAAATGTACAGAATCTGTAAAATTTGTTTTGTTTAAACCTAGTCATGTGGGCAGATAAATTTATATGCCTCCTGTATATAAATATATACATTTCTATAAACTAAGTATGACAGTGACAAAATTTCCATTCATATAATTTTATGACTGATATATTCTTTTCATCACATTCAACAATAGTTCAGCCATAGTACTGTTGAATTATATTCTGATCACTTTTACACCGAGTACAACAATTTACCATGATGCAATATAAACTTATGCTGCAGTATAATAAGTCTCCAAGTATAAATGAGTTGTGTCATGACAAAACCAACATAATGGCTTTGCGACCAGCATGGATCCAGACCAGCCTGCGCATCCTCGCAGTCTGATCAGGATCCATATGCTGTTCGCTTACAAACTCTATAACAAGTAGAAAAACTGATAGCGAACAGCATGGATCCTGATCAGACTGCGCGGATGCGCAGGCTGGTCTGGATCCATGCTGGTCGCAAAGCCATTATGTTAGTTTTGTTGTGACGCAGCTCAAATGTAGTTATTGTCTGTGAGGATTGAGACCAAGTTTCAAATGTTGTGGTGAGGGGTTCAGGCACAAACTGATCTGTTAGTTTGCAAAGTTTATTAAAAGCAACTCCTTTAAGATTTTCTTCCAATTTGTGTTTGAAATATAATCCAAATTATTTCCATAGTTTGCTTTTATATTCACAACTAACTTTTACATCAACCATGATGCTAATACTTCAACACATCATCAGTGAACAATTTGATACTTGTGATAACCATAGCTAGGTTAAACTTAATGTAATATAAGCATCTGCATAAAACAGAATGATGCAATAAATGACCTGATAAATTTATTTTGTTTTCAGGCATCAACAAATATTTTCAGAGTAGCTTCTATATCCAATGTGCAGGCAATATTTTTCACCTGGTCCTGCACCAAGTTCTCGTAAATTATACTTGTAATTACGAGCCAACATGTGGAATTTTCAATCTCTGGTTTTAAATATTTTTTATCAAACAAACCATAAATTGACATAAAGCTTCATAAATTTCATCTGGCAACGAAAAGAAAAAGGAATTTGATGCTGAAAAACTAGTATGATGATATCATATTGCAGTCTAGAATAAATTGTTCAGCTATTGCAATATACTGGTAAACCGGTCAGGGCTTTTTTCCTTCTATAACAGGGGCCGATATAAGGCCCCTTCACAATTCAAAATTGCACTTTTTTTCACAAAGTGGCAGGAAAAAGAGATTTCACAAAATATTGGGACTTTGTCTTTAAAAATACATTGTTTACCTTCAGGTAAAAACTTGATTTATGCCAATCGCAATAACACAGAAATAGTTCTAATCAAGTTAAAGGGTAATATGTCATTTTTTTCCCACAATTTTATGACATATTGTGCATTTTTTCACAAAATGAACAGGCCGAGGTCCTTTCACAATTTTGACAAAAAATGCCCTGCCGGTATAATATATATATGTGACATAATCCAATACAAATTACAGAAGTTACACAGTCTCAGGGCCGGCAGAATTAATTGTCTGTATTGCCGTGATTGCCCCACAGCCTGTATAGACAAGTGAAGATTTTCAAGAATTATGTAAATATCATACGGACAAGTTAAAAAATGCTTCATATAAAAATGGACAAGTGTCAAGTAAGTCAAAATCAGATTTTGCCGGCCGTGCAGAGTAGGTAGCAAAGCACACAATTCTGGTATGAATATCACTAAGACGTCATGTGTATAATTGTTATGACCAACAAGTATTGACTGTCATTCTAAAATTGCATGCAAAAGCAGCAAAAACTAATGGAAACCCTTTAAAAATCAGGTTCTCATTGGACAAAAATTCATAATTCTGAGCAAAATACAGCTATAATTCTAAATTCAAAATATATGCCCATTCGACTCCTAATGTTCATAAAATATGACCTGGTTTAGAATGAATGAAACAATGTCAACAAATACACACAAAAAAGAAAAATATCGGGTTATCACAAGAATTTACTTTTTATATTTGTTTTATACTGCCACCTTGCTTTTAATTTGCTATTTCCTATATATCAAAGAAAAGGGTAAAAACATCTCTTCATATTCACGAATTTCTTGTGATAATTCGATAATTATTGAACAATCTGACCTAATTAAAAACTAAATTTACCTTTCATTCCACACTTGCTCCGCCATATTGTTTATGTGTATCGAAGGCAAAATCCGAAAATCCGATTGGATAATTGCTCTTGAAGGTGAAGGCTATTTCAAACCGGAAACAGCATGTCAGATATGGACGAAAATATCAGCGAGGAAGAAATGGGAGAAGAAGAAGATTCTGGGTCGGAAATGGAGGAGGAGGATACTGAAACAGGTCCACCACAAGCATATCTTCCTGGACAACCACTTAATGAGGACGAGGAACTTGTATGTGACGAATCAGCATATGTCATGTACCACCAAGCTCAAACAGGTGCTTCAATGGCTAAATCATAAACAGATAAAAAGTGATTTTATTATGTTTGATCATTAGTTGTGTCATTTTGTGTTAGTTATTTACCTATCACCCAATAACGTAGAATCCCTCACTGGGTTGTAGACGTAGACTACACCTTTCCCTAGCCATTTTTATGAAAAATTACCTAGCCTTATTTGGGAAATTTTGCATTGTAAATTGCATTTTTACATTGTAGCTTACATAGGAAAACAATTTAGAACTGTTCACTAATTAGGTATGATAGTGTGTAAGCAGCCTGATAACTTAAGTGGTATAGTTGCACAGGTACGTATATTAACGTTAATATACGTACCTGAGTTGCGACACAGTTTTCTGAGGGTCCCTGGTTTAAACTTGTCCTGGTAAGGCTGCATTTTTTCTTAGTCCAATATATCAGACATTACAGGCTTGTTATTGTTTATGTTGGTCAAGTCTGCCCAGAAGCAAAGTGTCTCAAAGCGACATCATATTTATAGGGCTATGGTGACAGCATGTCATGGCTCAGAACTGTTTACTATTAATTATTATTGGAGATAGTGTGTAAGCAGCGGGATAGCAAGTAGTACATGGTAGGTAAAGCCGAGGGTTGCATAGTATTTTAAATTATATACAATGCAAATATCAATATAAGCATTACAAATACAATAAAATTTGACAAAAAAATATAAGGAAGCATTTGTCTGTTATTAACTTATAATACAAGAATGAACTCAAGCAAATATGTCAGGTTGCATATTGGAAATATCAGTTTGCTTAAGAGCACATTTTCTATTGGAAAAGGGTCTGGTAAAGTGATAATCTGACCCATGATGACACAGGGAAAATTAGGTATGTTAAAAACCACAAGGTTAAAAAATTTGTTTAAAAGAGGATAAAATAAGGTTTTAGGTAAGAAATGTTAGTATCCAGCCATTCAAGGAGGTTGAAAAAGTAGATGTAGGATTAGACATTGCCTGATGTGAGATATTGTTGCACTACTGAACTTCTCTGGGGTAGGGATAAAGATAACTGAGAGGCCGAAAAATTAAGGGGAGATCACTGTGTAAAGATTGTCAAATGACAGGCGCATTAATTTTCGTAACGAAAAAATAGTTCCCGATTGGTCGAAGATTTCATATATATTGTGTTATTCTTATCTATAGATATACATGCATATATTCAGCTTCATGATTATTTACTTCCAGTGCTTTTTTTCTTTATTTAACTACTACCCTAAAACTGTACTGTTCCCAATAGAAAATACACATTAAAATTCCCAATTTCCAATGTTTAAATTCCCAAAATGGCTGTTCAATATTCCCACAAGGCCAAGTGATTTCCCTGAAATCATTTAAATCCAACATATCCATATAAATCACTACTCAATAGTTCTACCTGGACAGTGGAAGCTGTTAGCTATCTTTATTCATGATGACTTATGTTATTTGTAGCTGAAAAAATGCATAAAAAAGTTCCCAATTTAGTCAAAACAACGCATTATTCCCAATCAGACTGGTACCAGCACCATTCCCAAAGTAGAGAAAAAAACGCTGACTTCAGTGTTAAACAACAGGTTTACCGTGAACAAAATATATCGAAATTAATAAAGGTTAAAAACTTTAATTTAGAATAATATGGTATTCTTCAGGCTGTTATGTTATAACTCCCCGTGGTTGAGGAGTTAACAAGCTCACTTAGGAAGCGAGAGGTCCGGAGTTCAAACCCTAGTTCAGGCAACTCATGGGTTTTTAGTCCCCTACCGGTTTAACCTTTAACTTTAGGTTTACCCTCCGTCCGTCTGTCTGTCAGTCCGTCCGTCCACAAAACTGGATCCAGCGATAACACAAAAAGAACTGAAAATATTTTAATGAAACTTGATATTAGATAGATGGCAGTATGGAGATTATGCACGTCTTTTTTTTTCTTCCTATGTTGAAAATTCTGGTTGCTATGGCAACAAATAGCCTGAATTTCAAGATTTCTGATTTAAATTTTTCAGCTTTTTCACTATAAGTTCTTTATTTCTTAAGGTGTTTACTTCAAACTTTAAATATAAGTTTCTGGTCATCAACCACATCATATGTGACAAGGTTTACAACTCTAGCACAAAAATTATCAGTATTACCTCCCTTGAACTTAGAATTTTTATGAAAAAAATGTTGTCTTTTTTAAATAACTTCTTTATTTCCTAATGTATCTACTTCAAACTTCATATAATATGTTTCTTATTATCACTCAACATTTTAAATGGGTTAAATACTCTAGCAAGACTATTTCCAGAATTATGTCCCCCTTGAACATAGATTTTTTTCGAGAAATTGGTATTTTTCACTCCAACTTCTTCATTCCTTATAGGATTTACTTTAAAATCCCACATCGTAATAATATGACAAGGTTGTATAAACATAATTTCCTTACTAGGCAGGGAAACTTAACACATTACTGTGATATAGACAAACTTAGAACTCAAAAGATTTAAGTTCATTCATGTCATTCATTCACTGGTAAAATTGACTGGCAAACGGCTCATCAGAAAGTTGCTGGGGTTCTAACCGGTAGGGGACTTATGGATTGCTTGCAATACTATGATAATTGCTTGTTTTTATTGTTTTTTTTTATAATTATTATTATTATAATTGTTTAAGCCAAAAACATTGAATTGAATATTAGTGTTGCAATTAGTTTTATAGCCAATTTACTATAGCTATAACACTGGAAACAGCATTGGTGACACTATACAAACAAATTGGTTTATAATCTCACAACCTTCACCTTCCTGACATTCTGAGACCCAAAAATAAGAATTCATAGCATTATCTGATTTAATCCAACATGATGCTACTCTTTAAACATTTTAATTTTGAAACTCTGAACCACTTTAAAGCATGGTTTGCCTAATGTCTAGAAAGATACCCACCAAAGGATAAAAAAAGGTTTTAAAAAAACATCACGTTGACATTGGGATTTTGTTGCCATGTCCGTGACAATAATGCAAAGTCTATCCAACGTCTAAAAACTGATTTTAATAGAGCCTGTGTTAGGTTTTCAAGTTGTACTATCGTAAGATTGTGGTAGGTTATCCGACAGAAAATTAAAACAACAATAGAAGTGTGATAAATTGATAAAAAAAGTAATTGTTGTGAAGTTGAGCCATTTGATTGAATTTTTTCGAAGAAATTATTACATTATTGTATCACATAACCAGTAGTAAAATTTCATGCTCTTATTTAAAAAGAAAAAACAGAAGCAATTTGGACAATAATGCAAAGTCTATCCAACGTCTAAAAACTGATTTTAAGACAGCCTGTGTTAGGTTTTCAAGTTGTACTATCGTAAGATTGTGGTAGGTTATCCGACAGAAAATTAAAACAACAATAAAAGTGTGATAAATTGATAAAAAAAGTAATTGTTGTGAAGTTGAGCAATTTGATTGAATTTTTTCGAAGAAATTATTACATTACCACATAACCAGTAGTAAAATTTCATGCTCTTAATTAAAAAAAAAACAGAAGCAATTTGGAACCTTAAAAGTTGCAGTCTGGAAAGATTAAAATTTTCTATCAGTAAGTTTGTTTTTTAGTAAATAGCCATTGTTGAAAACATATTTGAAGTAACTGTGAAATAACTATTTCAGGTGCGCCATGCTTGAGTTTTGATGTGATACAAGACCGTCTGGGAGATAGCAGGGAGGAGTTCCCACTCACATGTTATATTGTAGCTGGCACTCAAGCACAAAGAGGCAAATCCAACCATGTGATAGTGATGAAAATGAGTGAATTGAAACGCACAAACAAACCTAAAGAAGATGATGAAGAAGATGACGATGATGAGAGTAGTGAAAGTGATGATGAGGACCAACCGGAACTTGAAACAGCTGTTATAAACCATCCAACCGGATCTGTTAATAGAATTAGGGTATTTAAATATTAATTGTTTCCTTGCAGTATATTATAAATAACTAAACTGTTATTTATCACTCTCATGACTTTAAAGAGTTTTTTTTTTAAATGATAGGGCTGAACATATTAATCAAGATTTTTGATACCATTTGATGACAATCTATACCAAAAATTTGTGTGCAAAATTTCTGATCATTTGCCCACTCTGTTTTAATAATTTTTATTGTGCAAAATGAAATTGAAACACTTTTAACACAATCGGGCTGATAATTGCACTAAATTTGGATTATCAATTGCATTCTAAGTATATTTCTTCATTATTCATTTCATATGTGTCCGTTTTAAGCACCCCAGTTGATCTGTCTTAGTTTTTGAAATTTTATGTTTTTATGCTTTTGACCTCAGTGAAGGTCCTTGATTACACTTTTTCAAAATGCAAGTGTATTTGACTGTCAAAACTGGAACTAAACCAAAAATAAACAGTTGAATTAAAAAAAGGACAGGTAATATTAGATTTAAATAAATACAAAATAAAATAGTAAAAATGATTAATCATATATGGAACAAAAAGTGCATATATTGTCTACTGAAGTAGGCCAGACTCTGATTGGTTTATAAACTTCACATGTATAGATAAAGCAAAGAAAAGTTTCGAAGGGTGGATTATAAATACATGTAGATTAAAAGGGTTGGTGAAAGTATGGAACACCTGTTAAGCCATGTTTTCCTTATAAATAAAAAAAATAACAAAATATTTTAATGATTGATTTTTCCTTACTGTATGATAACACAAGACTTTGTCAGTACATGTATTGATATTTTAAAGCCCTATCTTGATGAGTTTTTGACTTGGAGTAATAAATTGATATTTTGATTATTTTAAGTTTTCTAATATTCTGTATACACTTCCTGTTGCTATGAAAGTTCAATAATTTCATATGGCATTCAGTTTTGCATTTTGCATTTCTTTTACAGTACAGCTATATCATTTGAAATGCCACTTGCTCTTACAGGCTACGCAATACAATGGTAAATCACTAGCAGCAACCTGGTCTGATAAGGGAAAAGTTCATATCTGGGACCTGTCTCGACCAATGCAGGCAGTAGATGATCCTCAAGTTATGAGTGTTTACACAAGAAATGATGAATCCCCAGAGGCTTTATTTACATTTACTCATCAGACAGAAGGTTATGCTATGGACTGGGCACAAACCTCGCCAGGTAATATTAAAAAAAAAATATTTCTGTATAAAGGTCATGACTGAAGGATATACTATTGACTGGGCACAAATCTCACTAGGTAAAATGTTATAATTAACGTACATCTATAAACGTGTAGAGTTCTTTCAAGATGGTCTATCATCCTTTATTACATGCTTTTCGGTGGTTTATAGAAATATATCAGTGATATAAAACTGGTAATTTCACTGTTTGAAACAGTGAAATTACCACTTTGATAATTTCACCGTTTTGAATTTAAGCCCCTTAAGTTGTTTCAGTGAAATACCAGCGTGCACAGTACTGGGTACCAACTTAATGACGTGACGTCGTAAATGACGTCACGTTGTATTATTATTTGGCGCGCTTTTCATTCAGTATTTGGTTTAATGTCTTTTCAAAACGTTTCTTTGCATGTAATAAAAAGAAAATTTGTTTAGTTCAGTGTAAGATTGAAATATATTTCACCTTGTGAACACCAAAAGTTCATATTTCACTCGTGGCTGCGCCACTCGTGAAATATACCTTTTGGTGCTCACTCGGTGAAATATATTCCGATCTTACACTGAACTAAACAAATATCCTCTATGTAATATTGTGTTCTGGGTAGTAAATTACTTTTCTGTAACTATTCAATGTTTAGTTAAAGACATCTTCTATAAATGACTAATGGTGCTACCTGTGGGAAAGGTTGCAATTTCTTGTGGATGAAAGAGGCTTGGTACAGAATACCAGAATACTTGACAGGTAGCAGCAAGACTGATATAATTCAGTAGAGCTAAGTGGTCAAGGTTGCTTACTTATAATCACTTGCCTTAATTCACTGTTGGTTTAAATCCTGCCAAGAATGTTTGAATCCTTATCCAGATAGCTTAATGAAGGTGTATGGTTTTACTCAAGACCTTATTCATGGCAAAAAATTTGTACAGAGTGGCACTTCAGCTCTTTTAAGTTTATCCACCAGTACAGCTGAAAACTATAAACAAAACTTAAAGCAATATTCCAAAGACAGACAACCAAGAACATGAAAGGATACCATGTAGCTAAGAATAATATGTATGAATTTATATGTAGATAGCTCCATTTTGTAACAAAAGCATTTATTTCACACATTATTTTACACGAAATATGATTTATTTTATTCTTTTATATTGTTTTCCCAAAGTATTTTAGTTAGTAGACCTGAAAAGTGGCAACTTTTGATTGATTGTTAAATTTCAATTATATTGATGTGAAAGTTTACTTGACAGGAACTGACTGAAAGATGGTTGCATAGAAACTATTTGAGTTACTATTATACATTACGTTTGATCTTAAGTGATATAGAATCTCTTTATAGGAAGACTTCTGACTGGTGATTGTAAGAAAAATATACATTTATGGAACCCGCAGGAAGGAGGGACTTGGCAGGTTGACCAGAGACCATTCAGTGCTCACACTTCCTCAGTAGAGGATATACAATGGTCACCTAATGAAAATAATGTAAGTAGAAAGAAAAAGAATAATTTTAGGTGTAATGCATTAACTAGTTATGTTTATATTAGCTGAAAAAATATGTGGGGAAATAAATATAGTGGCTGCTTTGTGCTTCAGTCATCCTGTAGTTCTATAGCACTTTCATACAGGTTAGTTTATACTAATTAGTTTATACTAATTTATATAAGTCTGATTGTGTTGGAAACAAGCTTATTGAAACACAATATCAAACTTGGAATACTTGCTTATTGTGGCACGGTGCAGTTGTTAGGCAAGGGGCATAATTATTCTGAAAGCTATATTTTTGAAGTTAAGCCCCTTTTTCACTTGAATATTTTTGTCAAAATTGATTATTGATAGTCATTGCCCTTAACAGACGAATATTGACACCCAATGTGGTGCCCTTGTTTACATCTTCAAAATAAATCTGTTTAGTTTAATGACTACTAGTATGTTTTGTTGAATGTTTACTGTATAGGTTTAACAAAAATTATGTAGAAATAATTCTCAGTTTTACTATATTTTAAACTTGATATCTTATTAGTCAGTTTGAGATTGATAATAAACCTTTTTCTGAAGCAGTACAGTGAAAGTTTTAAAATAAAACAGAACATTTATATTTAACTATCAGAAATTATTAAATTCAATATTGATTAGTATGACATGTATCTGTGCAATTTTACTAAATTATTTAAAGCAAATATTAACACTTAGGCCATTACATTATCAAACAGTACATGGTATACTAGTGGAAATTATAATACTACCTATTCAACCAGTGCATACAAAGATCATCCGGGGCATACATGTTGTCAGATCATGGTCTGCACTGTTTGTATTCTACATATTTGGAAATTTTCATAAAAATAAAAAGATCCCTTGCAAGCGTGTTCAGATTCTTTCATGTCAGACAGCTATCCAGCTACCTTACGGAACGTCAATGGTTCTACTTGGGTGTCCGCTTGTGCATGTAATAACAAATAAAGCACAGAGGTCCTCCTCCACCAGTTAAGCTGAAAAGTCGCCATATGACATATACTGTGATGGTGCGATGTAAAACCCGATAATAAACAAGTGATCAGAGGTTTCGACAAGATTAAAAGATGGACAAGACCATTAAGATAATTGTGTTTAGTATGGTATATAACATAAGGGTTAATAATTTCAGGTATTTGCCTCCTGTTCTGTTGACAAGAGTATAAGGGTATGGGATTGCAGGGCATCTCCCAGTAAAGCCTGTATGTTGACAGTAGAAGATGCTCATGATAGGGATATCAATGTTATACACTGGAATAGAGGTGAACCGTTCATACTGTCCGGTGGAGACGATGGAATACTGAAAATCTGGGACTTGAGACAGTTTCAGGTAAATGTTCCGAGAATATGACACCCTGAGCTGTTTATATAAACACATTTTAACCATTTAATATATGATATCATGTCGCTTTAGAACAGTTTTAGTTTGTTCATGATTAGATCCAGGCAAAAATGAGAAGCAGTCAATTGAAAACAAGGAACTGAGATTTTGGATTTTCGGAAGTTCCTGCCCTTGAAACACATACTTAGATTATAAAGTAATGATAAAAATTGACTGTGTTATTCCAACTAAATGAGTATTCTGTAATTAAAGCTGGCCATGTATATTATATAGAAGTATAAGTTTAACATAAAACAGAATACATTATGAATTAGTATTTCAACTCGTGTGGTATTGCACACAGTGTGAATTAATAAAAAACATAGTGATTTCAGATTTAAATCTTTAATTTTATCCCCATATAAGGGAGATTTTGTCAATTCAAATCATAGATGAAATATTTTCATCAAACATTGACATAGTACATTTGAGTTAACCACATTGTCACATGTGTTATATTACAGCATGGTAAACCAGCAGCTTTGTTCAAACATCACACAGCTCCTATCACCTCGGTAGAATGGCATCCGACAGATAGTTCCGTATTTGCTGCAGCCGGTTCAGACGATCAGATCTCACTTTGGGATCTCGGTGTTGAAAAAGACTCTGACACAGCAGGTTCCTCTGAGACCGAACCGGAAGTCCCGGCTCAGTTATTGTTTATTCACCAAGGACAGACTGATATAAAGGAGCTACACTGGCATAAACAATTACCAGGAGTGATTTTAAGTACAGCTCATAGTGGCTTTAATGTGTTTAGAACAATAAGTGTATAGAGATGCGAGAATATTAAAATAATCTTTTTAAGAGGTACACAAGTCTGAAATTGTTTCTGTTTCCTAAGGGAGCAGTATTTTAGAGAAAAGCATAAAATGTATTGTTCATGGCATAATTCTGATTCATGGTTGTGGAGTTTTGTGATACCCAGGCCTGCAGTTGAAAAAAATTACACAGATCAATATGTTTCCAATGTTGTATCGAAAAATACATTATGCCTGGTAGACCATAGTTATTTTGGAAGACATTGAAGAATGAATTACATGTAATTAGATTATATGACATTAACGTGTACGAGACTAGCTTCTAAATGAAATATATACAGCAGGAAATTAAGTTTATATGGTTCCCGGATGAAATATTTTGTCAATCTTTGTTAAGATTTTGTTTAAGAATAAAGAATAAGATTAAAAAATCTCCACTTAAAGTTTTGAACCTTGACATTTTGAATTCTATCACAGATCAACTTGAGATATAAAATGCAAGAGTATGAAAAGATAATGTAGAAAAATTCATTTGTGAGATTCTTAGCCAGATCAAGGTTATATGCATTCAGAGGCTCTCTTTTTGGCATGTTGCACAATAAAAAAACGATTATTCTGGAAAAACTTAATGAGCGATTGATCTGAAATTTTACACAGAAGTTATTTGATCAGACAGATCTATGACCACTGCACACCCTATCTTGTATAATGTAAACAAAATTATGTTAAATGATGAGAAAGTAACAGATTTTATCAGGCAAAACACTAAAAAATAACTTGAACAAAGCAGACAGCTATTTAAAAAGATACATATATATATATATATATATATATATGAAAGAAAGAAAGTCATGAGCAAGAAATTATACATAGAAAAATCACACGAATAATCGGTACGCCGCAGCCGGGACTCGAACCACGGGTCTCTGAATTGCCGGTCCAGTATGCTAACCACTACACCACAGCGGTACACGAAGAAAAAGCAACGGCCACTGTGGTGTAGTGGTTAGCATACTGGACCGGCAATCCAGAGACCCGTGGTTCGAGTCCCCGGCTGTGGCGTGCCGATTTTTCGTGCGATTTTTCTATATAATTATATATATATATATATCTTATATCCCTTCCTGAAAATAATTAATTTTTCATGTGAAATACTGAGGCCATTATTGAGTATAAATTGTAGTTCGTACTGTATAAAACTTATAGATTTTTTTCTCCTTAAACAACACTAGAGGGAAGTACTGCACAACTTTTAACAGCTGCCACACAACACTTGACATCGGCTGTTGTAAGAATAAAAATCTGGGAAAGACGGGATCCCCTTATGAGTAATGTAAATAAGGTTTAAAAGTGAAAATTGCAATCTTGGTTTGATTCAGTTTATTCTTGAGAGTTAAAGAAAAATATAACATCTCTAATGCCCGAAGAACGGGCTACGTAAGCAGTAGTCAATCTTCAACAAAATATTATAATTATAGTATCTGAATCAATGATTGTGAAGGACTAGGTTCAGCAAGAGTGAAAAATTGCCCTGTGTCAGAAATTCATCAAAATTTCAGTAACAGTTCATACTTTGGTGCTTTATCAGAAACAAGAACACACTTGGTGATTATTTATTTATTTGGTTACCATAGCAACCAAGCTAAATTCAGCATTTTTTCCGGTTTTTAACATGTTTCAGTCTTATATTCTCAAATATGCCAACATATTTTCCTCCAGCTTTTATAAGGTTGATGTTGATATTTAAACACTAGACTACATGAATTCATAAACGAAAATTTCCATGGTAACTCAAACAATTTCATATCTTTTGACACTGCAAAACAGCGAGATTTACCGAATTGCTTACATTATTACAATCTGGACTATTTTTAAGTTTATCAAATGAATAAACTGTAAGCTCTTAGTACAATGGTAGATTTTACATACTTTTTTGCACAATATGGAATCTGAATGTTTCGATGGTCACAATGTTGCTATGGAAACAAGAACCAGTTTTGTAAGCTTGACATATTTTCAAAGAATAGAGGTATTATAACAGTCATGGCGGCGGTTAACCTTGATCATAACTTTTTAAAATTTTAGTTTATTGTCTTCTAACTTGGCGACAACAATCTTTGGGACAAGACTAGACTAATCTTCACCTTCATTTATAAATGATTTTGCTCAGTTTTGAAATGGTTTCATGTTAAAAATCACAGCATAACGTATGTGTAGCCGATAAATGATGCATTGATCTTGATTTTATTGGAAAACTGAAAATGTGAATCAGGAATTTGAAATTCAAGGATTAGTTGAGTTTTCTAGAAAATAAAATGTTGAAAAACAGGAAAGAAACATATAAAGATTTACTGTTTTATTTCCTGGAATAAATATATGTTGATATCTTTTTGGTTTGCAAAATTTGTATTAAAAATAAAATGTAGAGGACTGTATAACTTCTGGTAACGTATCTGTTTATCATTGTAACGTATCTGTTTAGAAAGAGATTTGAGTACTGTTTAATATATATAACTAAATCTTCAACAAAACTTTGGTTTAAATTAGTAATATATGGTTAGGCAATATATAACAGCACTGTAACGTAATGAAAAAAACAACATATTAAAGTATTTTTAAATGAATGCCCGTTAGTTTCCAAATTTTAGTCAGCGTCGTATCAAGATAGTCTGTCTATGGTAGGAATGGACTAATTTGGATATAGATCAAAATCTTGGAGGTGCACATATATATGGATTGATTATAATACTAAGTTGGTTTTCTTTAAGCGGTACCATTGTTTCTGATATAATTTTGTTAAATGTAGATAAGCATATACATGTAGGCTTACTCATATCACCAAGTATGACACAATCAAGGATCGAGATTGTACCAGTATATAAAGACAATTGAACAGCAGATGAACCAAAAAGACAAACGAAATACAGAATGTCAATTCACACTATGAAACACTCACATTAATCTAGCTGTTACATATTCTAATAGATGGGTGTCTTTATTTAAATGTTCTTGTTAAAGTCACAATGTTATTTGACTATTTGAAGCTACAGTCAGAAAACAATAAAACCTAAAAAAACTGGAAAAGATTTTGTGTGTTCTATTTAATATTAAAAGTACTGGTTCAGACATATTATTTATTGGTCAGTTGTTTAAAAAACTTTATGAATATCTATCTACGTGTTCAGGGTTTTTCATAATTTTGTTCATAGTAGAACGGTGAAACAGATACGTTACTATGATTTAATATTCGTTTCCACTTAGCGGAATAAATTTATACTGTTAAGTAAATCCGAGCAACATTGTGTCAATAGATAAGTATGGAACATCAGTATTTTTATTGACCTAAAATGCTTTTATAAGTAAATCATGTATTTGGAATAAAAAAGTCTGATTAATAAGTAACATTTTCATCAGCTTCAGTTCGACGTGGATTTTTTTTAAAATGCATATTGATGCATAATATTTTGTAATTTATACTGGTGCTATATTGTTGAAAGAATGATAATAAATTTCTAAATTGTGTATATTCATGCTAAGTATTTTTATCTAGTCTCTGAAAGCAATTGGAAAAATGGTAACGTATCTGTTTTTTGCACAAATCTCGAATTCTTGGTGTCTCTCTCCTATTAACTAATATTAATTAACAATGTATATTTAGCATTAGATTGCCATACACATACATATATTTGTACAACTACATAAAGTACAACATGTTATTTATATCTGAACATGTCTTTAATATATCAAAAGAAGGTAGATTTAAGCTTAAATAAACAATTTCTAATAAAGTTTTTTTTAAAGTAAAAGAAGATTAAACATATTAAACTTATTGATTTTCATGGAGGAGGCGCGTACTGTAGGGAGTAAAACGACTATAAATTACCTAGTTTATTGAGATATATAGAAAAAATAAGATTATCAACATATGAGCCGCGTCATGACAATACCAACATAGAGTGTTTGCGACCAGCATGGATCCAGACAAGCCTGCGCATCCGTTCAGTCTGATCAGGATCCATGCTGTTCGCTTACAAACCCTATAACAAGTAGAGATACTGATAGCGAACCTGATGGATCCTGCACGGATGCGCAGGCTTTTCTGGATCCCTGCTGGTGGCAAACACTCTATGTTGGTTTTGTCATGACGCAGCTCAAATATTTAAGGTCTTAAGTATGGTCTGGCACCCAGGTAAACAAATAATTTATATCAGGGTTCAACATTTATCATATTATGTTTAATTTCCCTTCTGACATGTTATAAGTGTTATTTAAGGAGTGAATAATCATTAAATAAAGTAGTTTAAGGACATTTTCTAGAATTTATTAACATTGTAGACCTATCACAGCACTTTTCATATGATTATATTTACACAAACTAAGTTTAAAACATATCATAGTGTCATATAAGTCATATATGTATTTGTTATAAAGGGGAGAGCAGATAACTCCTGCTATTTAGTGGTATTTTCATTTATTGGCTATAAAAGTTTCTTTTTTTCCTATATTATCAAAGAATCTTATGTTGTAATTGGTTAGATTAACTCTTTTAAACTCTCAATAAGTTGTATTCAATTATATTGGATATATCTTGTGTGTATAGAACTACTTATTCAGTTAATTTAATTTGCATGCTGAAAAATCAGTGCGAGGTCCATTTTCACAGTTCTCTCCCTTGGACTGTAAATGGCCATTATAATTGATTATGTCATAACTTATTTAGTTTCCGATGGAATTTGATGGGGTTTTCTTCTCCAAGTCAGTTAAATATTGTTGTTAATAGATATTATTATATCAAATTAATAAACTATAGACCTTTTCTTGTAGGAGAAGTTAAATTAGGGTAAAATTACCTCATTTATTGTTGGATTGACTTCTTATCTTGAAATTGTTAGGCTATATAGGATAATCATTGTAACTTTTATACAAGTTCATAGAATTTCATAGGGATTTTTTGGTTTGGACCCTTAAAGATGTTTGTTAATAATTATCATACAATTGTATGGATTTTTATAACTGTTTTGGTTATTTTTGGGATTTATTAAGCCTAATCTTATTAAATTAGGGTTATTTCACTAAATATTTTCTATTTTTAGGAGAATCTTAATGAATTTGGTTATTTAAGTAAAAACATGATTCTTATTGATTTAATTTATAGGGAATATCTATAGATTAATTTGGCTCTTCTATAGTTTAGGTTATTAGGTGATATTTAATGCAAAAAAACTAATCTGGTATGGACTTTACTAGAGATACAACTTACAAATTATATGAAATAAACAGGTGTCAAAAAGTAAAAAAAGGACTAAAGTAAACAAACTGGGTCCCCATAAACACCTGTTTTAAGTGATAGATAGATAGATATATGATGGTGAAACATTGCAATAGAGTTTTGATGATATCTTCAGTTTAATGTCAGAAGGGAATAGGAAATGCATGTTACTTTAAAGACATGTCATGACTTTTAATACTATAGGTACTACTGGGATCTTTACCAAAATTATATCTAAATAAACAATTTAAGAGCTTAAATGGCACTACTATTGCAAATGAAATTAAAGGTTATAAAATGTAAAACAATGTTGTATTTTCCCTTGTATTCCCGAACATTAGGTTAATATTGTCTGCACTTAAGGCTCAATCCTGGTTTAATAATAAGAGTTTGTGACTTTCTCCTAATTGGAAGGGGTAAAATACTGGCCTCTTTTTGAAGAACAGTGTTCCAAGGGTTAGCTAGGTGTTTGAGCCCCTGTCAGGCTGTGACATATCAATA